TGGATTGGGAATGTCTCTAACATCCTAATTGTACTTAACAACCTCCTCCGTAAAAATTGATGCTTGGCCAAGTCAGGCATGGAGAAATGTGGGGACGCTTCTGTGAGATAACTGCCATTTATGACACCCTCTCACCAGTTGTTATACAAATATAAGCTGATTCCTTTTATAGAGAGTATTCTCTCTTGACCCAATAATAAGCACACAAACTTGAATCTCTGGTTGTGGTTTTCTTTTGTAGGTCTTCCTCGTAGATATGTTTCTAAAGCACTTTCGACCCAATCTCATTTCAAGGGTACCTTCTTGGGCTATCACGTGAAGTTTACCCGACAAAAGGTAGATATGTTTCTAAAGCACTTTTGACCCAATAATAAGCACTTTTGACCCAATAATAAGCACACAAACTTGAATCTCTGGTTGTGGTTTTCTTGGGCTATCACGTGAAGTTTACCCGACAAAAGTTCTCCACGTGTTTTTCTCCCTTGTCTTCATTGTCGTATATCATTGTTTTTTCAATTTCTCTCTTGTCTAAATCATTCATTTGATTTGGAAGATATATTTACTCAGATAAGGAAATTATATGACGATAGACAATCTGGTCATTCCTAAAAAGAAAGAGAAAAAAACAAAAAAAAAAAAGAATTTGGTGGGGTGGCTTGGGAAGGGGTAGATACTAGAAAACCCTAGGATTTAACTAGAGTAAGGCTAGCTCTGATAACAAATAATACCAGAACTAGTTAGAGAATTGTAGAAACAAAAAGCAACTTTAATAATATTGAAATAGTGTTACAATGTGGCATAAATGGAAAAGGGAACTACAATAGCAAAACAATTCTCTGTTAGGACCAACAACAAAGATTTGAGAGTGATGATGGCCTCAACGAAGCGATAAGGGAAAATGGGAAGGGCAGAGGGATGTCAGATATGTTGGAAAAGTGGTTGGTAACTGATTTGAGGGTTTGAGAGAGTTGGGCTATAGGGAAAGCTATAGGGAAGGGTGGTGAAAGGTGCTAAGTGATGGTGAGGTGAGCCGAAAAGCAAGGAGAAGTGCCATAGGGGTGCCTGACAGTCAGCAAGGGGGCAGTTGGGAGGGCTAGATAGGAAGGTTAGCAGCAGGTTGCAGGGGAATAGGGTGCTGGAAGGCAGATTGGAAATATTGGACAACAAGACAACGACAGAAAATGGATGTAGGTCAACGGGGATGGTAGATGAATGGTCGATGGCTAATAGAAGGGAAGGAGAAGGGTTAGAGAGGAAGATAGAGGAAGATACATCGCCACCTCAGAGTGGGATACAACCAGAGCACCACCACCTCCTCGGATACAACCCTAGAACATGGAGAACAACTTCACAAAGGAATCTAAAAGCAACACTGAACAAAAACTAACCCTAATGCAACAAATCAACAATATAAAGACTATCTGAAAAAAAAAACAGAAAAGGAATGATAACAGTGCTGCCTTTCCTAAAGTGTCGCTCGATCGAGCGGAACACTGGAAAAGAAGTATTCCTACCATATTCTGAACCGATTGCCTCAAGAAGTATTTAGATCAGCTCCTCTATGCCAGCCGATTCAACCGACTTGCTTGTTTTATGGGAAACTCCCATAACTGCATCACTCAACTTTATTTAAAATGATGAAATTGGTTAATTAATTTTTTTAATGAGAAAAATTCAAATATGAAACAAATCATATTGTAGAATGCACATCATATTATACAATAAATTTTCTAAAGTCATCTAATTAAGTAGCCAAGACTATGGGCTAATAAATATGAATTATATTTAAATGAACATACCATAAGATAAGTATCATATTATACCATACGAATCTTATCGCATGATCAATTAATATTTTATTTAATTCATAGATTTAGATGTTTGAGTCTAATAAAATTAACAAAAAAATATTTTTTTCATGCTTCAAATGTGAAACATGGTGAGGAATAGTGAGAAAATATTAGAAAACAAATATTTTTCTGAGAAAAATTACTTGAGATTTTATTTATAAACTATAGAAAAGAGTTTTCATGAGAGTTTTCATAAATAATTTATCTTCTTCTTCTACATTTTCTATGATCCTCCAATTTAAGAAGATGGTTGTTAGAAGGGTTGTAGATTTATGTTGCCACTTAATGGACTTGTGTTGTGAATTATCCATGTGGAGTGAAAGAAATATTTGAGTTTCTTTATTATCTTTTAAGAAATAAGATTTCTCCTTCTTGATTTGGCTAAATGAGAGAGGACTGAAAAGCTTAAGTAGAGAATTCAAAGCATAGATGTAGGCATTGGTAAAAAAATATAAAAAGTTAGTTTACACTTACATATTTCCTATTCTTTTTTCTAAATTTAACTTTTTTTTATTAAAAATTGGCACTTTGTGATATGATGAAGCACATCATAATTTTAGTCTTACATAGGTTAGATCATAGCTGCACAATTGTTTTAATTACTTTTAATTATGAAATTTTATCTTTGATAACTAGTTATGACTGATAAAAGGAAAAAAATCAAATGATTATATATTTATTTTTGATGTTTTTTGCATAATAAATTTTGTAATTTTAAAATAAAAAAAAAATTATTTTGCTTGTTGTTTTAATTATTAAATAAAAATATGCATTGTTTTTTTTTCAAAATTATAATTTAAATTTTGTTATTAATGCTAATCGACCCCATCTTATATATGACATAAATTTTATATAGATGTTTTGTGTCAACACTATGCTTTGACAATGATGGCAATATTAAATGATGATGTTATAAACGATGAGTATCATACTCATTTGTGATGATGCATAATTATTTGATGGGCGTAAAGGAGAATCAAAGTTTGATTTAATAACATTCATCACTCTTATTGTGTTGGTGGATATTGATATTATTGGGGATGATGATCATTAACATTATTGCTGATAAAAAGTGATGTCATCATTAGTTATTGATGAGATGAATCAACTTTATTAATGACGTCAAGCATAATTGTGTTGAGCAAACACACTAGACAATTAAAGTAACTATAATGACATTAGTTTTAGTGTTGATATTGCACATTAGCCTTAATGGCAATGACAAATGTTGATATTACTAGCAATGATGATTGATGGCTTTATTGACATCAAGGGCATTGATATTGGTTTTGACGAAATGCTTTGGTCTTATCGGATATGATGGGTGATGACCTTTTTGGAATTGGTGAGCATTAAAGTAGATATTAATGATGTGCGTCAACCTTGATTAGCATGATATGTTTTGACATTAGGGTTTACATCAAATGTTAACATTTGAGTCAAAGTTGTTGTTAATGTTAGGTATTTGCATTAGTGTTAATATTTGGAAATGACCTTATTAACATTCAGAAGAGTCAACATTAGTGTTAAAGGAGAGAAATAAGCTTACTCTTGATGTTGACACTGGAGTTAATATCGAATGTAAATATTGCTTTAGATTTTAGATGATAACCTCATTAGTGTTAATGGGCACAACATTGTTGGTGATGGTGGTTAGGCAAATGTGTTTATTGGTAGTGATTGCCAGCGTCAATTGTCAAGGAAATCTATAACAATGATCAACTATGGGAGCTCATCTTGCCATGTCCACCTCATCTTTAAAGTGAGGGGATTACTACCAAGTGGTAGATAGTTGTGCCATGTGGCTAGCAGTGATTGTCTATGATGGCACTGATAAGTGACGTCTATGGGTGATAGTTACAACCACATATTGTAGTGTAATTATAATTTGACGAAATTTGCTGAATTTAAAGTACGCCAAAAATAAAGGGTGATTCTGAAATTACCTAAAATATTTCTTGTTATTTCATTCCCTTCAAACCAAACAAGTTTTAAAAAAAACCCTACATTCTAAATACAATAAACTCATTTTGTGTCCGCCAAAAACCATTTTTGATTTCTTTATGTTCGTCCGAGTGAAACATTTGTTTTGACATTTAACTTATTGAAGATGAATTTCATATGATCTCAATGGCAATTCAAAATTTTTTTTAATCAAATACTCGTGTAAAAATTTACGTTTAACTAAATGATTTTTTTGATGAAGTATCACTAATCTATTTATTATTAGTTTGAACAAATTTAAAAAATAAAATTACCAAAAAAAAATAAAATAAAATTAAAATAAAATTAAAATAAATAATCAATTTGATATTTTAATAGTTGAATCAAATAAGCTAATAATATAACTTGCCTTTAATTTCTTTTCATTTTATCTAAATAATATATGCCACTATTTGTGGAAATCACCTTCTAGAAATACCCAAATGCTCATGTGTTTATTGGCCTTATCGAATTTGGCTAAAATAGCATTCATCCTTCATAAATAATAATATAATAGAAACGTTAAGGTGTTATAAAATTTTCGACTTATTATATTTTTATTGGAAGTATTTTAAATTTTTTGAAGTCTAAGGAACAGTTTTATCATTCAACGAAGTTCTTTTGAAAGACAGATTGATAGAACACGAAATGTCGTCCTCCTCACGGTCCATAATGGCAAAAAATGAAAACTTTCACAAGTGTCAGATGCTGATTCACCAAATGAAAACTTTCACAAGCGTCGACGTTTCTCTAACGAAGCCTAAGACTTGGTTTGAGTGAATGTCGCCGTTCAGTAAAGTGTCTTTCAAAGTCATGCTGGCGGAACAGAGAGGGGGGGATCTGCGATTTAAAACAGAGAAAAATAATCATTTTTGCGAAAAATCTGCAATTTAAAACAGAGAAAAATAATCATTTTTGCGAAAAAAACTATGAAATAAGTTTAAGAAATGAGCGAGCACGCGGAAACACGAAGAAAATTCGAAGTGTTCTCAAATGAAACCTAATTATATTATATATATATATTTCAAATAAATAATGAAAATAATGATGATAAAATATCACTTGCACATGATAGCTTATGGCATCCAACTTCTCTCTGATAGGTTATCTCGATTTTCTATTTTTTTCGAAGCATATTTTGACTTTCGATCCGAATCTGCGAGACGACGGAGCGGGGAGCTCACGAAAAAGGAAGGGAGGCTCCAATTTCTATAAATGCGGACATACCTTTTCAGTTCTTGCAATCAAATACGGAACTTGCTGCTTACTACGTATTCTCTTCTGAATCGTAGGAGAAATCTAGGGTTTTGGGAGCAACCAGTGTCGTCGCTGCTGCACTTCTCGGTGCGACAAGGGGGCTCTTCTTGTTTCCATCTGAGATTTGAGAGAGGAAGGTAGAGGAAGGGAGAGGATGTCCAGGAGCACCGTGGAGAGGCACGCGTCAATTGACGCGCAGCTTAGGCTGCTGGCTCCGCGAAAGGTGTCGGAGGACGACAAGCTGGTGGAATACGACGCCTTGCTGCTGGATCGCTTTCTAGACATCCTTCAGGAGATTCATGGAGAGGATATTAGAGAGACGGTAAGCTGAAGCCCTAGCTTCTCTTTTGTGCGATTGAAACTCGCCTGATTTGTGTGCGGTTTTTTATAATTGGTTCTAGAGTTGATTAAGATTAATTCTATGCGAGATCCAGTTAAATTTACTGGATATTTCCTCTTTTATGTCTGATTTCCCATGGATCTGAGTTTAGGGATGTTGTAGGCTTTTTGCTGAATCGAAGGATCTTCTTGCTAGTTTCAGCTTGCATAAATTTGGTTTTGGAAATCAATAACAGAAAACCCAACGGAAATAAAAAGTGGGCTGAATTGAAGCATTGTATGATTCTGCTAGTAAAATTTCTCTGAGCTGTCTGTCATAGGCTTAATTGTAGAAATAGAACTTCATGCAGTTTCAGATTGTGGCCTTGGTTTGTATCTGATCTTGTTATTTTTTTTACTGTTAGGTTCAAGAGTGTTATGAGCTTTCTGCTGAGTATGAGGGCAACCATGACTCGAAGAAGCTGGAGGAGCTTGGGCATGTGCTGACCAGTTTGGATCCTGGCGATTCCATAGTTGTTGCCAAGTCCTTTTCGAACATGCTTAATCTTGCCAACTTGGCTGAGGAAGTTCAGATTGCCTTTCGCAGGAGAATTAAGTTGAAAAAAGGAGATTTTGTTGATGAGAATTCTGCAGCTACGGAATCAGATATTGAAGAGACTCTTAGGAGGCTTGTACATGAGCTGAAAAAGTCCCCTGAGGAAGTTTTTGACGCTTTGAAGAACCAAACTATTGATCTTGTTTTTACTGCACATCCAACTCAGTCGGTCAGGAGGTCCTTGCTTCAGAAGCATGGCAGGTTTGTTTTAAAGGTTTAATAGATGATATGGATCACTCCTTTTGATGTTAAAATTTTCTTTTCTGCATATGTTTTTCAAAATACGGTTCAATTGGATTCATTAGAATTTGGCTGTCATAAGTCCAAGAATTTAATCACCATGGCACAGGATATCAAGTTTTGTGTGGTTGCGACGATCTGGAGGGTGTATTGTATTGTAATATTGTTATTTATTAATATCCTTTAATAAATGTTCTGGTTTTAATGTTTCCCTCAGGATAAGGAATTGCTTGGCTCAATTGTATGCCAAAGATATCACTCCTGATGACAAGCAGGAACTTGATGAAGCCCTTCAGAGAGAGGTAGGTTTTGTGACAAAAAAATTGGTTGTATATGCTTTTTTGTTCATGTATCTTCAATCAACTTATATTATGTGGAGCTTTTAAATATTGATATTACATGTAAAGATTCTATATTAGCAATGATCTTAGTTTTGTTTTTAGATTTACAAATATATTGATAAAAATTAATTTAATTAATAGGCTTTGACACTGCAGAAAAGCTAATTATGATTTGTTAACATAAATAATTATGTAAATGTATAAATGATGTTTGGCTTTATCAACCAAAAATAAGTTAATTTAAATGAGGAGTGGTGCTAGTAACTACTATTGTAATGCTCATTTCCCTGTTTTACTTCATAGTCCATGTCTCATATGCTATTTTTTTTTTATCTTTAATATTATCTTCAGATACAAGCCGCTTTCAGGACTGATGAAATTCGTAGAACTGCCCCCACTCCTCAAGATGAAATGAGGGCTGGAATGAGTTACTTCCATGAAACTATATGGAAGGGTGTCCCGAAGTTTCTTCGGCGTGTTGATACTGCTCTGAAAAATATTGGAATCAATGAGCGAGTTCCTTATAATGCTCCTCTTATTCAATTCTCTTCATGGATGGGTGGCGATCGTGATGGTAGGATATCTTGAACATGAGCCTTTTCCAATATTTTAAGGTTGCATTATTGAATGTTTCATTTTATATTTCCTTAGGAATGTAGCTTTTTTACAAAAGGGCTGTTAAAGTGGCAATTTCTACCTAATATTTGGAAGTTTGATCTAACAAATTGATGCTAATCTCTAATTACTGATTCTATTTATACAGGGAATCCTAGAGTTACTCCAGAAGTCACGAGGGATGTGTGCTTATTGGCAAGAATGATGGCTGCAAACTTGTACTTCTCCCAGATAGAAGATTTAATGTTTGAGGTTATAATCCTTTCTTGTCTTATTTTATTAGGTTTTTTATTCAAATTCTCATGTATTTCTTCCATATCATAATACTAATCTTTATCATTTATTATTGTCACTTTTCAGTTATCTATGTGGCGGTGTAGTGATGAGCTTCGAGTTCGAGCAGATGAATTACACCGGGCATCAAAGAAAGATGCAAAACATTATATAGGTATAGTTTTATGAATTACAAAGGAATTTGAGTAAGATGTCAGACCATGCTCGTTAAAAGTATGAATTTTTATATTTTGTTTTCTACAATTTTCACCTCTCTCTATTTCTTAATTTTGCCCAATCCTTTTTGATTAATTTGCTAATGTTAAAACTTGTATTATAACTAGTAAAACTGCATGATAACTAAGTGTAATAGCATTATTTTCCTTCTTAATTTCTCAAAACCTAGGATTAAAGAATATAAATATATTGTTTTAGGAGTAAATATAAAGTTCTTTATGAAGAGGAAAAAGAATTACATTTTGTTCTTGAGCCATTTGTAAATAATAGTTTAGTTTTATATGCGTTAAGTGCACATTGTTAGCTTTTCAAGAATAAATAAGAAGATAGTATAAAAACAAATTTAATGGGAATTCTAATAATATTATATTGAAAATCTTGTTTATTTATTTCGACATTAAACTTTTGTACTATGATATTGATGAGTTTTATAATAATTGATAAAATTTAGTGCTTGTAATTATAATATGATCTATATGAAATAATTTGTTTGTTTATCTTTTGGTTTTTTAAAATGTATAGAAGGATGAATTATTTTAATTAATAATTATTTTATAATGTCTTTTAAATATAAGGTATCGCCCTAATTATGCCATATTTAAAATGAACATATAAAGGCATGATTAAAACCAAAGTTTAAAATTGCGCAATTGGGTACTGTTGCATTTTTCGTTAGTGAAGCGAGGTGTAAGCCTCAAAGCATTTTGAGGTGTAAGGCTCAGATTTAAAAAATTACATTAATTAATGAATATTGTATAATCTATAAACTATAAAGTAAGAAACAACATATTATTATTCTACATTATTATAACATTAAAAAATAATATAACATTCTAACTAAGTTAAAAGTTATAACTTGAATTAAAAATGACACGTCAATATTCTAACATCAAATTATAAAATAGGATGAGTTATATAATTATTCAGCTTTCAAAGTAAGCTATGATATTAAAACATGTTCGACCAATTAAAGTTCTTTGTTAGCCTTCAGGATTTGAAAATAGACAGCGCACCTGTCGCCCGATTTTGAGATAAACTGGCTTAAGCCTGCAATCTAGCTAGTCAGCTTTTGAACTTTCTTGGTGTTCCAGGGTACACATATCGATTAGCAACTACACATTTTTTGAATTGGCCTTTATTCCCTTTGGGTTAGAATGTGACCTAAAAATTTATCTGTGGATGCTCCGAAGGTGTACTTGAGCGAATTGGGTCTTATATTAAATTTTCTGAGTGTTTCAAAGGTTTTTTTAGAATTTTTATGTGATACTCGGGCATTTTGCTTTTAATCAGAGCATCACATACACCTCAATATATATATATATATATATTGCAATGATTACAACCATCATTCACTGGTAGGTAGTTTATGTATTTTATACCGAAGGAATTACATTATAACAATACACTCGCTAGTGCTGATGTGGTTTTCTCTGCGTTGGCTGAGTGCATTTTGATTTGGTGGTAGACGGAGAATGCGTTGAGGAAGCTCACCACAGAATGGCTAACTACTGCATCTACTGACACATCGATTTTGAGGCAAGGAGTAACTGTTTTTCGAGTAAGCGATGTTTAGGATGTTGAATTACACACATATCCTCCATCTGACATTTGACTTTTGTACCATGACTACGTTGAACTTCCATGTCGGATACTAGAACTTTAAGATGCAGCTAGCCTCCAGTAGTTTCCGAATCTTCTCTCGGATGGGCTCAGCTAGAGTGATGGTCGGTGACATCATCTTTTGCTTTATCGATCGGGCCGTTGGATTTACATTCAGGCTGTGACACATGACATCGATCGATATCCCAGGCACTTCGACCGTGAAGCAGATAAAAACATCTCAGTGGTCTTGGAGGAAATCAGTCAGCTTATGTTTAATTCTTCATCAAAAACTTCACTTATTAAAAAAAATTACTAGTTTTGCCCTTGGTCGTTGGGATATGATGGGTGATCTCGCTGGTCTCGAGCCCCCCTTTGCATAGCTTGTCAAGCTCGAGCAACTTTTGGTTGACCCTTTCGACCACCCGAAAGTAGCAAGTACAAAACTACTTGAGATGGCCTTAAACAGTGATCACCTCACCTTCGCCCAAAAACTTCATTTCCTACATAAAAGTAAGTTACTTATCCTTCTATTCCTAAGTAACAACTTGAGTGATGATTCTTAGCTCTTCCTTCATATTGCCGGAAAAACCATAGAGCAGTGGTTAAGCGGTCGCTGCCGAGGCCCGTCTTATCAAATGCTGACTCGAGCAGGATATCCATAGAATTATCAGTGTCAATGAAGATACTACCAATCTAATAGTTGTTGATTCACGTGGTGCTATGATGACATTATTGTAGGGATTATCATTAGGGGGCAAATCTTCATCGGTGAAGGCTAGGGGGAGGTGAGTTGTGTTTGAGAGCAAGGATGGTTGCGCATAGTTCTCTTGATTGAAGCCTCTTTAGGCTGGCTTGGCAAGATGAGTCTCCACCTCCTTCAAAGATGACAATAATTATGACAACAATGTGAATTACTTGAGTTTGGAGTGGCTCATCTGATATTTCTTCTACCTGAGCATTTCCCTTATTGCTGGTCGTTAGTCTTGAAGCTACAAATTTCTTAAGCTTATAATCCTTAACCAGCTATTCAATCAAGCCTTGGAGGTGTCGACATTCCTCCGTGTTGTGACCATTAGTTTCGATGGTGGACACATTATTTCTTGGGGTCCCGAAGGTAAGCTTTGGTTTTCATCAAGGACACTCTTTTGAAATAATCTTTATTTTAAATGGTTTCTACTATCTTGACATTGAAACTCTCAACAGAATTTCCTTAGATACTTTATGGTTAGGCAACGGGCGCTCATTGTAATGAGCTGGCCGCTAGTGAGGATATCAGGTCTGAATCGCTCTGTGGTATGTTTTGTCGGTCACTATGTGGTCCCAGGGTGGCTGAGTGTCTTCGTAGCGAGGACGGGTGGAAGGACGCAAATAATGACTCTATCTCAACGCTTCGCCTTAGGGAGCCTTCTTCTACAGGCAACGGGTGGATGAATCTACTTTGGAGGAAGCGGAGTCGAGTTATACTCGTCCAATGTTGTGATTGTTGGCCAGCTGCAACAAATCAGCCAACTTCTTTGGTCGCTACAGATCCAATGCATAATGGAAGGGTCTTTCCTTCAACCATTGAGCAAGGTGGCATGAGCTACTGCGACCTTCAGATCTCTCACGTTCAACATCTCTTTCTGTAATTGCATGATGAACTAGCGAAGGCTCTCGTTCCGTCCTTATCAAATCTGTAGGTGGGCCTATAAGCTTTTTTGAGACTTTTGGGCGCTCTCAAATTGTATCACAAACATTCACTTGAAATCGGTGAACAATGCGACCAACAATATTGCATTGAACCACCTGAGGATCGACTTTCTAAATGTGGTAAAGAAGAGAACATTTCAGCACCTCAGTAAGCCTCAACAGACACACAGTTGACTCAAATGAGGCTATGTGGTCGGTCGGATTGGTAATGCTCTTGAAGGACTCCAATGCGAGGATTTTAAACCTCTCTAGGGGCTCAATCTCAAAGATTTGTTGAGAAAACACATTCTAGGACTGTCAGGGTGCCTCAATACGCCCGAATCAGTGTTGATCGATCAGTGTCGATCCAGTACTATCGAAGTGCTGGGAGTTGCCTTTTTTTTTAGGGCCTAGGGGACTCTTCCGTCGTTGGGCGCCGACCCTTCCTCTCAGGGGTGTTGCTTTATTTCTTAAGCCAACACATCTCGGATGACATCTAACATTTGATCATTCATCTCCTTGATCTGTTGCTTCACAAAATCTCTGGTTCGTATTTTGGCGTTGTCTTTATTTTGGATTCCTTCTTCACGGGCTACTTTTCTTTTGTCTGTGGCATAATTCATGCTCATCACGCATTTTAAGATGTTGAATACTGATTTGTCTGTGAATCACACCCAAAAAATAAAATGTCAGTCAGGAGAGAGAGAGAGACAAAAAGTAGTGGACAGTAATGAACAGTAATACGTCTTTTCTATCGTATCTTGTTCATAAAATTATCACTGTATTTATAAAGGAGTGAATATAATCTTGTTGGAGATACTACATATTCAGATCTTCCCTTAGATCGGTTTTCTTGTGACAGTTAGCTTGGATATTTTTTTGTCTCGTTTTTGATTGAGTGATTTGTTCTGGTATTCTCTGGTCATCTTTTGTTCGTCCAGTGATTCGGTTGACTTGGGCCTTAATCAGATCTTTCTTAGATCGGTTTTCTTGTGCAGTTAGCTTGGATACTTTTTTATCCCTTTTTTGATTGAGTGACTTGTTCTGGTATTCTCTGGTCATCTTTTATCTGTCTAGTGATTCGATTGACTTGGGCCTTATTTACTTGGCTTGGAGAGTTTCACCGGTTCGAATAAGTGGGCCTCATGGTCTCCTGTCAGTGGGTCCTACTTTGTTGCACTCTTTTCATTTGGACTGTTAGATCTTCTTAGGAATAGTGTTGACACAATTTTGATGTACACTTTTCATTTTGTTGAAAAAATAAATCTTAAAAACTTGAGGTATTTTTTAATGTGAGGTGCCTTTGAAGGCTCACCAGTGTCTCAATTATACAAAATGCATCCCTATTTATTCTCTGAAGTTCAGTCTAGATTGATTTTATATAATTGAGATACTAAATTTCAGATGTACACTTAGATCTATTTATATATTGATTGAGGGAGAGAAAAGGAGGGATGAACTTAAATGTCGTTAATCAATGCATATAAAGCTTTTTTTTAGCAAGATTAGCCAAGTATTTAAATGCTCTTCGATATTTAATTATTAGTGAAATCAGTCTTAAGTACACCAACAGTTTCAGTTGCAACATTGAAATAATATTTATTGGTTATTGTTTCTTTGTGAAAATTGCTGATTGCTGATTATGTCTCCCTTTCCTTCCCATCATTATCATCTTGTTTACTTCTATCGTTTTTTCCTGTCCTATAGTTTAAACAAAGCTTTTGATTTATGTTTCATTGTCAGCAACACCTCACCTATCTGAATGTTTAAGAAAATGATCTCATCTAAAACCTATAATTGATGCAATCGTTGGCATCACATAATCATTATAGTCATGCTAATCCTGGAGATGCTTTTCCTTCATCTTAAAGTCAGTTTTAGTTATTTCCTACCAATCATGGTCTATGTTTTCATAAACTTGAGCCCCTGCTATTCATCCTTACGTCGCAATTTTTTCAATTTGTTTTGGCTGTTTTTCAGTGTTCAAAATTGTTTTTCTATTGCAGAGTTCTGGAAACAAGTTCCTCCAAATGAACCATATCGCGTTGTACTTGCTGATGTTAGGGATAAGTTATACAATACACGTGAGCGTTCTCGTCATCTTTTGTCAAGTGGATACTCTGACATTCCTGAGGAAACCACGCTTACCAATGTTGAGCAGGTTTCACTTTTTGCACTTTCTAATTTTCATCTTTATTTCATTTGTTATTAATATCTGTATTTTTAGATTTTTTTTGAAAGGCTTCTACTTATCATCTGTTCAGTTCCTTGAGCCCCTTGAGCTCTGCTACAGTTCTCTCTGCACCTGTGGTGATAGACCTATCGCTGATGGAAGCCTTCTTGACTTCATGCGTCAAGTATCAACCTTTGGCCTCTCCCTAGTGAGACTTGATATCAGGCAAGAATCTGATCGACATACTGATGTTCTTGATGCTATTACCACACATCTTGGGATAGGTTCATATCGTGATTGGTCTGAGGAGCAACGTCAAGAGTGGCTTCTATCTGAACTGAGTGGCAAGCGCCCTTTATTTGGTCCAGACCTTCCCAAAACTGAGGAAATTGCTGACGTTCTTGACACATTACGTGTCATAGCAGAGCTTCCTCATGATAGTTTTGGAGCTTACATAATTTCCATGGCAACTGCTGCATCTGATGTGCTTGCAGTGGAGCTTTTGCAGCGTGAGTGCCAGGTGAAGAAACCATTGAGAGTCGTGCCACTTTTTGAGAAACTTGCGGATCTAGAGGCAGCACCTGCAGCTTTATCCCGTCTCTTCTCAATCAACTGGTACAGGAACAGAATTGATGGAAAGCAGGAGGTCATGATTGGTTATTCAGACTCTGGGAAGGATGCGGGACGTCTTTCTGCAGCTTGGCAGCTGTATAAAGCTCAAGAAGATCTGATAAAGGTTGCAAAAGAGTTTGGGGTGAAACTGACAATGTTCCACGGACGAGGGGGAACTGTTGGAAGAGGAGGTGGCCCTACCCATCTGGCTATTTTATCTCAGCCTCCAGATACAATTCACGGTTCGCTTCGAGTGACTGTTCAAGGTGAAGTAATTGAACAATCTTTTGGAGAGGAGCATTTGTGTTTCAGAACTCTTCAGCGTTTTACTGCAGCCACACTTGAGCATGGTATGCATCCACCAATTTCACCAAAGCCAGAATGGAGAGCATTGCTGGATGAGATGGCTGTTGTTGCCACAAAAGAATATCGCTCTATTGTCTTCCAAGAACCACGTTTTGTCGAATACTTTCGTCTGGTGTGTAACTCCTGCCATAGTTGCTCCCATTTTTGAATACTTTCCCTTTATGATTTATGTCATTGTTGGGTTACTAAGCATTTCATCCACATGAATTCTTTAATCATGATTAATTCGGCAATTGCCATGGCTGAAAGTAGTTGCTGTCTATAGCTTTAAAATTCTATACAAGTTCTCTCAATGATCAGTTCCATTTCCCCTTGACTACTGGGCGTTAAGTTCTTAAGAGTACGAGCAATAGTTACCTTGGTAAATCTTCATCTCATTCCCTTTATAAGTTAAAGCTGATTTGTGACATGGTATAGCACCCATTTACTATTGTCGATTTATCATCTCCTTCGTCGGCTATATCCCCATAAAACCTCCTCCTATATCTCCATAAAACCTCCTCCTAACGGCATTTATGGAACAGAATTAGGTTGCAAACATCAAGTTCTTCCAAAAGCCTCTATTGGGGGACCTTTGACCCTTGATACACCATTTGTTATAAAATTCTCTTCCATTCACTCTAAAGATTGCTAAAGGTGTTAATTCTATTTTTGTATTCCTAGTTATAAACTTTGATATTTTCTTTTTTCCTTCCTTTCTAACACTTTAATTCTTAGCATGTTATTTTATTTCTTTTACTGCAATTTTTGCACACCATTTTAGTAAATGTCTTCCTCCATTTGCATGTAATAAACTCTTTTCTTGTTTTATGCTATACATAGTTTTACCAAGATTTCATTTTAATGTTCTCATTTCAACCACACTCAACCTAGATATTAGTGTATTTTTATTTGTTTAACTCTTATGCATTTAGTGTATATGGTCTAATTGTAGTTTAGAAACTTTATCTCGTTCTTCATGAGAATTTATTGCATGGCATTTTTTATGAATTTCATCATTTTAGCCATCCATCCCTTGTCTCATAATATTCATCGGCCTTTTATTGTTTTGGCTATTCAATTTTGATTAGAATTTATGCTCTGATTAATTTTTTGTAAAATACATCCATGGTAATTGATTATATCATTCCTAATTTTCATTGGAATCTTCTAAACCCATTTATTGGCAAATGTTTAGTTATCATTATGTTAGTAGCATACCTTTTATGCCTTTGTTCTATTAAATCTTAAGCCCTTTGTTTTCTATAACTTTTTATATTGTTTTAAGCCTTTTTTTATGTATGGATATCTCATCTATTACAACTTTTCTCAACTGCACAAAACATAAACCAAGTTAGCTGATCTCAAATATATTTTGTAAACATCTATACCAAAATATTACTAAAATGATAATCTTGAATTCTTGATGATGATTCTTCATCTAGCTCTCCTTTGAACTCGTTCTGTTCATGGAGGTCTAAAATGTTTAGATCTCAATTCCAACAAAATAATTTGAAAGAAGTTGCATTGAAATCTATATGCTTTGACATTACTCATTTCTTGTACTAATAATTAAGCAATATGAGTTCTATTTTTTTCCACTCTTGTATTCATTTTTCATTACGTTGTTGTTGTTATAAACAAAATTAATATTCCAGCCTATCCTTTCATTAATGTCATATTTTCCACTGTTATTAAAGTGAAATCAAATAACTTTTGAGCACTTCAAGTAAAACAAATTGACTCTTAATGCTTGTTGGTTCCATCATAGATGAGCCTCTAATGTTATTTGTGCTGGTTAATGTTTTTACTGTATCACCTATAGTGCAATATGAATATTAAATTGCTATGTTTAGCAAAAATGATTGATGATTTCACCTCACAGGCCACACCTGAGACGGAATATGGTAGAATGAACATTGGAAGCCGACCATCTAAACGAAAACCCAGTGGAGGCATAGAATCTCTACGAGCAATTCCATGGATTTTTGCTTGGACTCAAACAAGGTTCCACCTTCCTGTTTGGCTTGGTTTCGGGACAGCATTCAAGCATGCCATTGCAAAGGACATAAAAAACCTTAACATGCTACAAGAGATGTATAATGAATGGCCTTTCTTTAGGGTCACCATCGACTTAGTTGAGATGGTGTTTGCTAAAGGAGATCCTGGCATTGCTGCATTATATGACAAACTGTTGGTTTCCGATGATTTGTGGTCATTTGGGGAGAGGCTCAGAGCTAACTTTGAAGAAACCAAAACTCTTCTTCTTCAGGTAAGCTTAGCTTAATGATTATTTGTTATGCTTCATTGTCATTATTATTCACCCTTGTTTTTTGAGGAAATTTCAATCTAGGGAAACTTTATCAGAGCATTTTTTTTTTCCTTAAATGTAATATTCTGATGTTTTTTTGTATTGATCGCTGCATGAAAGATGTGAAAGAAGTATAGCTCATCTTAAATATGATCAAAAGCTTTGAATGGCTGATCCTTTGAGATTTATATTTCTTTTGTCTACTTTATGGAATTATCTGTAGCAGTTAGACATTTACTCGGCCATAATTGTTTCGTGCTCGGTTCCTTATCTTACTCGATCCATGCACTTAATTTTGGCTTTATATCTCATGTTTATTCTATAGATTGTTGAAATATACACCGAATAGCCGAATCAAACAAGTGCTTGTTTGGTCCTTTCGGAACTCTTTCTGATCACCAATCATTTCATGAATCATAAACCTGATACCATCAGCTGTCAATTTTATTGTATGCTCTCATTTGTAATCACTTTGATCCTCTTAATTTGTGCATTCCCCCTTTTATTTTAATTCGAATATCTTCAACCACAATTCTTATTAGGTTGCTGGACATAGAGATCTTCTTGAAGGAGACCCCTACTTGAAACAGAGACTGCGCCTCCGCGACGCGTACATCACTACTCTGAATGTGTGCCAAGCCTTCACCCTCAAAAGGATCAGAGATCCAAGCTTTCATGTAAATCTGAGGCCTCATTTATCAAGGGAAATAATGAATTCCAACAAGCCAGCTGCAGAGCTGGTGAAACTCAACCCCACAAGTGAGTATGCTCCTGGGCTGGAGGATACCCTCATCCTGACCATGAAAGGTATTGCTGCTGGGCTGCAGAACACTGGTTAATTAATACCTCACTTTTTGTGCCTTCCACTGGCATTTTGTTGTTGTATCTTTTAAGTAAAACAGTGTTTGCTTTCGTCTATATCAAACTATGAAAGGTTTCTTAATCCTTTTTTTGCACTCAGTTTGCAAATCGAGGCGAGGAACTATTACATTTTACCCCCCATGATTTAGAATAAATAAGACGAGCGGGTTGCGTTAAATTTTGAAACATGGAAATTGGACTAAAGTTTGCTGCCAAACTTTTTGTTGGTGGCACTTTTCTTTTGAGCAATGAGACACTCGTTGTAATGCTACCCCATGTACCCTAAACACCTTTTTTCTCAAAATTAAAATGATTTGGAGGATGCATGCTTCTAATTACTTTTTTTTTTTGTTGTTGTTGAAAATTTGTGGCCTAATTTGTGGCCTATTTTCATGAACATGCACTGCTATATCTCTAATAGTTTTGGTGTTTGGCTAGAATTCTATCTCATTTTTCTCTAACTTGTTTTGTGTGATCATTAAGACCATGTTTTTAGGAAAAGAAACAGTCTTTGGTGTCATGAAAGAGATATAGTTTGCATGTACCAATGTCTTGTAGGTCTTTTGTTATGTTCATGATATTTATAAGACTCAAGTCATCCAGTTTTAGGATTATTTCACTTAAATTCTAGCTTTGCACATGGATGGACCTAGGGGGATTTATAATAATAATAATAATTTATTTGTTATTAATGTCTAAATTCTAAGTCAAAGCAAGTTACTAAGGTCTAAGTCAAAGCAAGTTACTAAAGTCTATAAGTCAAAGCAAGCATGATCATTCATCATCTTTTAGGCTTCTATTTTTTTTTATAAACTTCCAACAACTTTATTATATGGAATTAAAAGATGAAGTAATAAAAATAAAAAAAAAATAATAATTACTAACATGTATTTATTATTATTTGACTATCATTTTATTTTCTTATATTCTTTTCTTTATGAAATGCTTGTAACTTTTATAATTTTTTTGGAAAAAGAAGAATTGAAGTGAAATAGAAATCATTTATTGAAGTCTTCTTTTCTTTGTTCATAAGAAGATCTTGGTGGCTAACCCCTCATCCTAAATTTAGTGACCATAGAGATCTTTCTTTGCTAAAACATGTAATATACTTATCATTTTGTTTATTTTTGTTTTTCGCTTATACTTCTTAAAAGTGTTTTGAAGCTTCTCTCTAAATTCTCACAAATTGCAAGTGAGTGATTGCGAGATAAGAATGATTAGGTGGATGAGTGGCTTTTCACTTAGATACAAAAAGCGAAATGAATATATCTGTGATAGGATTGGTGTAGCTCCAGTGATGGACAAAATTAGAGAGAGTCGCCTAGATGTTTTGGTCACATTAAACATCAATCATCTGATGATCCAATTAAGAGAGTAGATGTTTTAGATTCGACTTATGTTAAGAAAGGCAGACCTAGAAAGACTTGGGCATGTTATATAAAAAAAATGATCTTAATTTATTAGAATTAAATGAAAATATGAAAAATGAGAAATAATGTGTGTGTATATATATATATATATATATAT